CTTTCGCTTTTTATTATTTATTATTGTTGTTACTATTTCTTTCTAATTCTATTTCTTTCTAATTCATTTGTTCTTATTTACCTTGTTCCAGCCACAGATTCCTCTACGACTACCATGTTACGACTTAACCTCAGTTATTAATAATCCCTTACCTATTATTTTTATTCGCTCATCCTTGCGAATTATACGAAATCTAATAATACCATACAGGACTACCAACTTCCATGGCGTGACGGGCGGTATGTACAAGATCTGGACACACATTCACCGTAACGTACTTATTTACGATTACTAGCAATTCCTACTTCATGTTCTCGAGTTTCAGAGAACAATCCGAACTATGATAACTTTTTTAGTTTTGCTCCGATTCACATCATTGCATCTTTTTGTTGTTACCTATGTAGCACATGGATAGCCCAACCCATTAAGGCCATAATGACTTGACGTCATCCCCTAATTTTATAGTTTTTTTGTTAGTGCGTAACTTAAATATAAATGAGGGTCTCGTTCGTTCATGGGAATTAACCTAACGCCTCACAACACGAACTTACGACAGCCATGCAACACCTGTATTAGATATTATATATATATAGACAATGCTATGAAACTATCGTCCTGTTTTATGCTTTATGAGAGATAGAAATCATTTATTGTATATTACTACAATATCTACTATCTATATCTAATATGACAAGGATTGGTAAGATTTCTCGCGGTGTATCGAATTAAATCACATGCTCCACTGCTTGTAGCAGATCTCCGTCAATTTCTTTAGGTTTTAATCTTGCGATCGTAGTTCCCAGGCGGAATGTTTAACGCGTTAGCTGTAAGAATAGTTAACACTACCCTTTAACATTCATCGTTGACAGCATAGACTACGAGGGTACCTAATCCTCTTCGATTCCCATGCCTTCGTGCCTCAGTGTCAGTCTACTATAGTTAACTGCTTTCGCCATTGGAGTTCTCTCTATCTTTAACGCATTTCAACTCTGATTATAGAGGTTCCGTTAACTCCTAATAAACTCTAGCGTAATAGTATTAAAAGTATATTATCATATATATAAAATTTCACTTAAAACTTATTACACAACCTACGCACCCTTTACGCCCAGTCAAGGAGAGTAACACTCGCGCTACTCGTATTACCGCGGCGGCTGGCACGAGTATTGGCCAGCGCTTGCTCCCGTGTACCATCATCATTTTCCACGGAGCAAGAGTTTTACGACTAAATGCGCCGTCCTCACTCACATGATATACCTGGTTCAAGCTTTCGCTCATTGACCAAGATTCCCCACTGCTGATTTCAAATGAAATTAGGACCGTTTCTCAGTTCCCATGTGGCTGAACAACCTCCCAGAACAGCTAAGCATTTTTGGCTTGGTGAGCTTTTAATCTCACCAACTACCTAAAACTCTATATGAAAATCTCTAAGCAATAATATATATTTTACTATTAATGGAATTCATATTATTTTTTAATATACATTCCAAACTCAGAGGTATATTCAATATATATTATACACCCGTTCGCTACATTTTTTATTCCGCTACTTATAGTAATTACTCATTTCCATGATAAAAAATGTATAACTTGCATGTGTTAAGCCTATCACAAGCATTCACTCCGAGCCAGAATAAAACCCAAATATTACTCGAATTATCCTTAATATTAAGAAAATAATTCTTTTTATTTTTTCCTTTTTTTCTTTTTTCTAAAAAAAAAGATCTATTATTTTACTTCCCATATCTTGCTACGACGTAAACAATTAAATCAATTAAATCAATCATCTTATTATATTGACCTTTACGGGATTTGAACCCGTGTCTTCTCCGTGAAAAGGAACTGTCTTTGACCACTGGACGAAAAGGCCATTCCCATTCACTATTATTTAGTTCTACACATCGCTAATGTAAGGACCAAACTGTCCCTGTTTCATATTTTCTAAACGACTGGCTAAGGTTTACTTTTTTCTGAATTACACTAAGATAAAAATTGCTATAGACTAATTCTACAAATCCTGTTAATGGGAAATCTTTTCTCAATGGGTGTCCTACGAAACCATAATCTAACAATAATCTCCTTAGATTTAAGTTATTTATAAAAAAGATTCCAAAAAAATCCCAACATTCCCTCTCGTACCAAGATATATTGGGATACATATAGCATAATGAATAGGTACTTTCTAGATCTGATAGAAAATACTTCATGAAAATACGATAATGGTAAATTATTGAAATTAAGTGATATATTAAATTAAATCTCTTCTTTTTCAATATATAATCGACACTTGTGAAATCTATTAATGACTTTAATTGTAAATTTATATCTTTATACAAAAAATAACTTAACATCAATACATAGTATTTATGTGTCCTTATATATATTTGATTACTATTTTTCCTCAAGGAAAAAATAAACTTTGGTGCCGATAATACTAAGTATTCTAGTAAATGAGCGTTCATTGTATCTATTCACCATAGATATGTAATTGTATTCTATAGGACTCGAACCTATAACCAAATGCTTAGAAGGCATCTGCTCTACCAATTGAGCTAAGAATCTCTACTATTATAAATATATAAGATACTATTATTATACATAAAGGAAAGGTACCCATAAGTGAGCACCTTTCCTTATCGGGGGGATATTATTATAATAATATAATAATAAAAATAAATATATAAACTTACTATATATAATATACATTGATCTAATCATTTTTTTTATGGATAAGAGATAAATGAAAATCTTTATTTTTATTATTTTGTAATTTATATAGAATCTAATTTTACCGTATTTTATTTTATTATACAAAATTTAAATAAAGTTATTATTTCTATGCACTACCACGAATACAGGTTATATATTTGTTTAGGTAAATAGAATTTAATTATAAATGAAGGCTATTAAGAATTATTATAATTATTATTACTACCTATTTGGTCTAAAACTTCCGGCTCGTAAAAACTCATTAATTAAAATAGAATAAAAAACAAAGTAAAATCAATTATATATTTTATATAAAAATAAATCCCACTTAAAAACTAGATGGATTCTACTATGGTTTGATGATGTTATACTTTTAATGTATAATGAACCCGGTAGGGATCGAACCTACAACCAATCCCTTATGAGGGGATTGCTCTGCCATTGAGCTACAGGTCCAATTTATGCACACAGCAGGGATCGAACCTGCGACCTGCTGATTAAAAGTCAGATGCTCTACCAACTGAGCTATGTGTGCTTACATCTAAAAGACATAAAAACTATGCCATTAATAAAAAAACAATCATAATTGTGAAAAGTGCGATAGCCTCAGTTAAAGCGAAACCTAAAATAGCATAATTAAATAATAATCTAGCAATACTAGGATTTCTTGATACTGAATCTAATAAATTTCCAAAAATAATTCCAATTCCTACACCTACTCCTGATAATGCGATAGTTGCTAATCCTGCGCCAATTTGTTTAAATTCTGTTACCATTATGTCGTTAAATTATAAAAAGGGCTAGATGTTTGTTATTACTATACTAAGCCCTAAAAAAAATTAAAATTGCTGAGAGTGGGACTCGAACCCACAAATATGGAGCATGAATCCATTGTTTTACCAATTAGACTATCTCAGCAAGTAGTTTACATCAACGTAACTATATTAAAAGAAAAAAAAATAGTAAAATAAAAAAATAATTTTTTATACTCATTTAATAAATTATTTAATACCGACGGACTTACAATTAACTTACTTTCTTTTGTATAATAATATATACTATTATATTTAGATAGGTAAAAAAAGAGATATAGGAAGTTTATAAGATTTACCACAGTATAATTATTAATTGATACTTTTTTTCCATATGACAAATAAATATTACCTATACTATTTAAAAAAGTAATATCTAAATCTTTTTTTTTTTCTTTTAAAAAAAAAGGAAATTCTTTTTGGATTTTAAAGTTTGATATATATTGATTTAAAGAATCAAAATTATAATTCTGATCCTTTAATTTATAAAAATAAGTGTGTATTTCATCTATAGTACTTAAATACCTAGCGTGAGATGAAAAAAGACTAGTTTTTTTTTTGCCTTTGCACAAAAAAAATGTACTCTGTTCTTTTCTGTAATTACATAAAACTAAATAGTATTTTTTTTTTAATTTAGCACTACTATTATAAAAGTATCTTCGTAATGAAAAAATATAATAAATATTATTAAAAATACTGGACTTTAATAAATCATATTTTTTTATGAAATAATTAATATTACGAATTTCATTTTTAAGATGCAATACTTTATTCTCTACTATACCATTCCTTACTTCTGATAATGAGAAAAAAGGAAATAGTTTAAAAATAAAATAATCTATACGAAAACTAAAAAAATAAAGTATATCATAGAACTGTAAAATAATATTTTTTTTTATTTTTTTATTTACTGCATTATACGCCCGTAAAAGAGTAGTATATTTTGATTCGAAAACAATCGAAGTAAAGAAATTAAAAATAAAATCTTTTTTATTCAAAAAAGGATCACTTTTTAAGAATAAAAATTTAATTTTATTAAATAATTTAATCATAAAATAAAAAAAAAATTTTTTATTTAATTTTTTCTTTATTACTAAAAAAAATCTCTTAAATTTTTTATTTAACAAATTATAAAATTTTTTTCTATTACCTAATGGTAATAATTGTGTAGGTAAAAAATTAACAATAAAAACATTGAATGCATTGATTCTACGTTCCAATAAATATTCTGTTTTATATAATAAGTATTTATAATGACTAAAATGCTTTGATTTGCTTCTAAAAAAAAAATTTTTATATTTTATTATTTTTTTTTTTAATTTTAATAAACTATAGTACTTCTTCATTAAGAAAAAAATTAAATCAATTAAAATAAAGAATTTAAATTTTTTATTTTTTTTTAAGAAATAAAAATAATAAAAATATTTAACTAATAATAGGTACATATTATTTGTCTATTTAATAAATAAACAAAATGCTCACTGTAGGACTTGAACCTACATGCTAAAAGCAACAGATTTTAAGTCTGTCGTGTCTACCAATTCCACCAAGTGAGGAATAAATCGGGCTAGATGGGACTTGAACCCACGACTTTTGGTATGACAAACCAACACTCTTACCAACTGAGTTACTAACCCATTTAAGAGTAACAGGACTTGAACCTGCACGAACAAAGTCACCAGATCCTAAATCTGACGTGTCTACCAATTCCACCATACTCTTAAGTCAGGATAGGGCAGGATTTGAACCCACGAATACTAAATTTCAAATTTAGCGCTTTTGACCGCTCAGCCACCTATCAATTTATTTCATTCTGTAATGAATATCTTTTCATACTATTTAAAAGAACTTATTTTCAAAATACTATATATATTAATTATAAGTATTACATTACTGTTAATAATAATATTAAAAACAAAAACGATACTATTCTTTCTACTCTCTCCTCTTAAAGAAACTATTATCTCAAGCCACATATACTTATATACATCTGAAGTAAATTTACTCGTACATAATAGTATAACTAACACCCAATTTAAATTCCTTCCACTGATTGAAATAACACTCCCTTTTGTAATTAATTCATATTACTATTATAAATATATTATTCTATTCTCCATATATTTGATAACACCCCTGCTACTATATATAATAACAATAACTATTAATGTTATACTATACAAAAAAGAATATCGGTTATTCCTACATAATATTAAGTGGTTAATGTACATACTACTAATGAATAGTATAGTAACTCAATATTGTATAATCCCACTATACATTAAATATACATTTAGCCATTTAATAGAATTTCAATTTTATGAATTTGACATAGAACTAAAACTAATAAATTACCTAGACCTATATATAAATGTTTTATATACTAATATATTAATTGTCTTCTTCTATATATATATAAAAAAACATATTAAAGTTAATAACTATATAGTATATATACTTATACTTATACTGCTACCTAATGAAATAATGCTACAAACGACTTATGTTATCGTACTGACATCATGTAATATGTTGAACAACATTATTATAAAGTACAGAAATAAAATTAAAAAATATAAACTAACGGAATTAGAGGTGAAACATTAAAAATTACTTTATTTTTAGAAACCATAGACTGTAATGTAATGGATTGAAAGATTGAATTTTTCTTTTTATTTTTTTTAAAAATACCACTTATCTTAAAAAAAATGATTTTTGGCGAGTATAAAGGAAAAATTAAATTTAATTTTTTATTCGAAGATTGTTTATCAAAAAAAAAACTATTATTCTTTAAATGTTTTTTTACATATGTTAATAAATAACAATATTTATTATTTTTTTTATAAAAAATTCTTTTCATCAAAAATGAAAAGAGGAGGTGGCTGAGCGGTCAAAAGCGGCAGACTGTAAATCTGTTGTATATATACTACGTAGGTTCAAATCCTACCCTCCTCATTAAATAATAATTTATTTTTATCATGAAAAAATGATATATATATATACGTATGTTTTTTTTATTATTACCGCATTCCAATATGATATGTATGAAATATTTTTTAATGTCAATTCCAATTTAATTACTAATGCAATATATAAGATGAGCAATTACTGGGCTACTATTGACAACTATGTATTACTGGTAACCTCAATCATAATATTACTATTATACAATAATACATATATACTATATAACAATAAAAATACCCTGATACTATTTATATATATGTTTATAATTCTATACAGTGTGTACATTAATACTAAAATCTATTACTTTAATAATACAACATTTAATCCGCTACTTACGCATTTTTTGGTTATAGTACACCCACCTATATTAATAACAATTACATTCCTAATAAAAAACAGTATATTTAAATATATAAGTATTAATAAACTAATACTTATACTTGGTATTAGTATATTGTTAGGAAGTTACTGGGCCAATTCTCTTTTTGGATGGGGTGGATGGTGGTCGTGGGACCCAATAGAAAACATTGCTCTTGTCAATTGGATAATTTTTTTGTTGTATATACACAAATACAATAAAAAAATTATCGGTTCGATATTAATACTCGATTTTTTTTTATTATTAGTAATTAAATGTAATAACCTACAGAGTATACATGTATTTAAAATAGTTAATTTAAATTTACAAAATTATTTTATAATAATGTATACCTTATACGTATTATTTTCTTACGCATATACGAAAAAAAAGAATAATAATTACTACATAAATAATAACATATTAATAAAACAAAGCACACTTGTTATTATTTTATATTTACTTAATAACACACATATATACATCAATATATACGTATATATTATATATATATTCGTAATATTATATTCTTACATATTAAAATACCTAATACGCAAAAATAAACTAATTAATACGTTACAACTAACTACATTAATATATGTATACAAGGCTCTTACATTATTACATACAATAATAAGCACCATAATTATTTTTTTTTACATCGTAAAAAAAAAAAATAATATATACAATGTACACATTTATATATTATTAATAGCATACTTACTATTGAATATAAATAACAACATAATAAATATTGTTTATGAAAATTATGCGTTATATATTAGTAATAACACAACAGGCGAAATTAATTTAATAGATATAAATATAAATTATATAGAATATATAGTAAAAGAAATAAATACTGAATTTTTCACTACACAATATTATAATATATACAGTATATTCGAAAAAATAGAAACTAACATATATAATAATATAATAACAAACACATTTATAAATATAAAGAATAATATAATACAAGTATACAAAATGTATTATATTATAATCTTATTCACGGTAACCCTTTTACTATTTATACACATAAACTAGAAAATATGCGCTTAAATGGGCTCGAACCATTGATCTATCGCTTATCAAACGATCGCTTTACCGACTAAGCTATAAGCGCTATCTATCTACTTCTCCAAATACAATATCTAAAGTACCAATTACTGTTACTAAATCCGCAACCATGTGGCCAGAAACAATATGATTTACTCCTTGTAGATGGGCAAAACCAGGAGATCTTACTTTACACCTATACGGCATATTAGAACCATTTGATACGAGTAATACTCCTGTCTCACCTTTAGGTGCCTCAACACCACCATAACAAATCCCTTGAGGTACATGAATACCTTCACTATAAAATTTAAAATGATGTATTAATGATTCCATTGAGGTTTTTATTTGTTTTCTAAAAGGAGGAGAAACCTTATAATTGTCTAATCGAACAAGACCATTCGGAATATTATTCAAACACTGATAAATAATAAAAATACTTTGTCTCATTTCACTAATCCTTACCAGATACCTATCATAACAATCGCCATATATACCAATAGGAATATAAAAACTTAATTGTTTATAAATTTCATATGGTTCTGTTTTACGTAGATCCCACGTAATACCCGAACCCCTTAACATTACACCAGTAAAACCCATATCGAGAGCATCTCTATAATTTACTATACCTATATCTACTAAACGTTGTTTCCATATTCTATTTGTTGTCAAAAGTTCTTCCATTTCATCCACTCTAGAAGAAAATGAAGAAATAAAATTATATATATCGTGTAATAACCCTTTAGGTAAATCATAAGAAACTCCTCCCGGCCTAAAATAATTAGCATGCATCCTTGCTCCTGAAACACGCTCATAGAATTCCATCAATTTCTCTCTTTCCTCAAAAGCCCACAGAAAAGGAGTTAGTGCTCCTACATCCATTGCATGAGTGGTGATAGATAATAAATGATTTAATAATCTAGTTATTTCAGAAAATAGAACTCTTATATATTGAGCACGCAATGGAACATTACACTTTAATAATTTTTCTATAGCCAAGCAATAAGTGTGTTCCTGGCACATCATAGAAACATAATCCAATCTATCAAAATATGGTAAACCTTGTATATATGTCTTATACTCTAATAATTTTTCTGTACCCCTATGTAATAAACCGATGTGAGGATCTGCATTTTTTATTATTTCACCATCTAATTCCAAAATTAAACGTAAAACTCCATGCGCAGATGGATGTTGTGGTCCAAAATTTAGTATAAAATTATTTAATATATTTTTTTTATCTAAGTACATATATGTATATATATGTTATACGTAAAGAATAATTTTATTTATTAGGAATATAAAGGAAGGTACGGGATTCGAACCCGTGAAAATTGTTTTAGCAGAACAACACCTTAGACCTCTTGGCTAACCTTCCATTGATGTAAACATATAAACAAATTATGAAAACGTAATTTTTTTCTCTTTATTACGCTTCGCTTCTTCTTCTTTAATATAATTAATAATCCTATCTTTCTTCCATTGTTCTTTTATTTCATCTATTGTATATTTTTTAGAATTCCAAAAAAAAAACTTATTATTTATATAGACATGAATTTTATTTTGATAATAAACCCATTTTAAAAAAATAGCAATAAAAGGTAAAGTAATATACAATAAAATATAAAGAAGCAGTGTATGTATAGGTTTCATCAACGTTATATAAAAATGATGCCATGTCTGGTTCATCAAAGAACGAGGCCACCACATATGAAATCTAGTTTGATTATAATAAATATCAATCCTGTAATCCTGATTCCAACCCATAAAATAATCACACGAGTCATTTCCAAAATATATCCATAACATCGCTAAAATATAAAAAAAAACATACCAACAAATACTTACACCACAGACTAATTTATATAAATTCAACCAACATAATGTTCTGAAAAAATGATTTAAAAAGTGACTAACATAATGATCTACTTCTACCCATCTATGAGTAGCTTGACGTTTTTCTTTTTTTAACCTGAACCAAAAAAAAACTGATAAGAAACCAAATAAATATACAAATACATATGTAAATAACTCCATATTTAGAATATAAAAAGTATATATATAGTAATGAAAAAGTGCATATGCTTTTTCTAGTAATAAATAAATAAACATAATGATACACAATTCAGAACTAATACATGAAAACTCATAAAAACAATAATCTATTTCTATACCTGTATAAAACTTAGGAGAAACTGTACGTCCTTCTCTCCATGCTTCATTCATCTCATTTGCCGAAATACTATTATTATACTGATTAATTTTTTCTAATGCATATTTTCTCTTTGCTATTATTTCTTCCCTCTCTTTTTCTTTCATTTCCTTTAATGTACGCGCATCATAATAATAGTCTTCCTCATTCATTCCAGTTAACATAAAATGTAGTAATACTTTATTTTTTAATGTAAGTTTTTTTAAATGGTAAAAAACTATATATATGATTAAAAAAAATAAAATTACTATAATTGATAATAAAATATCTATTACATCAATTTCATATGTTCTAAATAAGAATGCCCTAGATTGTATGTTATAGGACAATATAACACGTCCAAATAACCTAATAGTACCTACATATCGAGTACAACCAAAAGGATCTAGTGTAAGTTCTTTTCTATACTCTTCAAGACCCAATTCTATTTCTCTTAAATACCACTTCAAAGCATTATCCCCCCACTTTAATGATTGTTCTGGATTTGCATAATACATTTGTGGACTCACTATCCTTCTCAAATGACCTCCTTTGGTAACTTCAAAACCTACTTCTTTTAATTCATCATTGTAAGAATTAATAAAATCTTTATATGAAATGTTAATAGGAGATGTCGGATCCCATATTAAAATTAATTCTTTTCTTACGTATTTTGGATTCCAACCGTTTGCGGTTGGTAACCCTGTATACATAGGAAGTATGTATACATAAAAAAGATATTCTAATTGATCGTATACCCAATTAAATGGATATGAAATTATATACCATAACATATTATTATATTTGTTCATTTTTTTCTTGTTAAAACATTTTTTATTAGTGCCTAATTACTAGTACTTAAAAAATCCGCTTAATTAAAATTCTATTTTATAAATATCGACGAAGAATCATTAATACTAATGCTACTTAATAAATTACTTACTAAGTGTACATCTAAAGATAAAAATATCCAATCTATAAAATATTTATTTTTTACTATTTCAACACAAATAGGCATAAATGCATGATTTACCCCACAAAGCTCAGAACACTGACCATAATATACACCTTCTATACTTGAATATAAAACAAATCTCATTAATCTGCCAGGTAGAGCATCTATTTTTATACCTAATTGAGGTACGGCCCAAGCATGAATAACATCATGTGATGTTATGTAAAAACAAATATTATGTCCATTAGGTAATACTAAACACTTATCTACATTCAATAACCTATTTTTTTCACTGTCTTGAATCATATACGAATCAAATTGTAATACTGGAAAATTAAAATTAGCATCAAATAAATTAACTAAAATATCTGTACCTAATTTAGTATCTATTTCATATGTCCAATACCATTGATGTCCAATAATATAAACATTAAATAACGTTTCTAAGAAATTTTCGTCATATTCTAATTGGAAAATAAATCCTAGTGCTGGTATTAATAAATAACTAATTAAGACTGTAGGTAATAATGCAAAAATAGTATCTAAAAAAGCTTCTACTTTTTTAGAAAAATGGTAAGCTACTGGATTTACATTACTGTTGAATTTGGTAATACTCCATAAAACAATAAAACCTACTACAAAAGCAACTGCTATTAATACACTCATTGTTTCGATATACAATAATACAATAGAAAGCATTTTATCATTAGCTGGCATCCCAAATCCAAAATATCTTGTTAATTCATAATTTATATTGGAAAACAAAAATGCCCTCTTTGTTTCCATTTCAGGAATACTATATAATTTATTATCTAAGCCTACTATACCAGTTGAAATACCTCTATAGTAACTCCATAAATTATCCATATAAAAATTATATGGAGTTAACGTGACAATATTAATTGCTATATAAAAACAGACCACACTATTCCCATTCCAATGCCCCTTTTTTCCATTCATAAATAAAACCTATTAACAGTATAAATAAAAATAAGAACATTGTATAATAACCAAAGAACATCAGTTCTTTTATACAAATAGACCAAGGAAAAAAAAAAGCAACTTCTACATCAAAAATTATAAATATGATAGAAATAAGATAAAACTTTACATGGAATGGATTTCTTGCATCTGAAAATGGATCAAATCCACACTCATAACCATAATTTTTCTCTGTGTATGCATTCTTTAATGTTATTACATAACATAATAACAAAATAATACTACTTACTAATAAAATAAAAAAACTATAAAAATAAAGTTCATAATATTCAGTAAGAAAATACATTATCTATTGTTTGTGTTATAATACTAGTGTGCTATGTAAGCATCTTTTAAATAAATGACAGACAATATTACAAATATATACCCTTGTAAGATAGCTACAACTAGCTCAAATAAAATTAAGACAACACATAAAATTATAGGTAATATACTTATTAATGAAAATTTAATTGAAAAAAATAATGGATTTACTAATTTATATATAAACAAAGCAACTGTATCCAATAAAATATGTCCTGCCACTATATTTGCAAATAATCGTAACGCCAAACTTACAGATCTAAAAATAAAACTTATAACTTCTATTAATGCCAAAAATGGAACTAATACAAAAGGAATACCTTTTACATAAAATATAGCAATAAAAGCAAGACCACTTTCATAAAAACCTAATAAACAAGTAGCCCACCATACCAAAAAAGATAGACTAAATGTTATATTTAAATGGCTTGTTATTGTGAAACTAAATGGAACTATACCTACTAAATTACTTAAACAGATAAATAAGAATAAATAAAAAAAAAAAGGAAAAAACATTTTTGTTCTATCTACTAGATACGAATATATAGTAACATATATAAAATTATACGTACCTTTAAATAAAGAATAAAAAAAGCTTTGAAAATATACATAACTTATTTTAAAACTTAATGTTAAATATATAAACTGCAATAGAAAAAAAAGATTAAACGCAATCAAAATAGTATCAGTTAATGTATAAGATAAACTATAAGATTGTATTTGAAATTGTTCAAAAGGACTGGATAACATTTCAATTGTTAAAAAATTTATATTATATTATATTATATTATAAGGATAGGGCAGGATTCGAACCCACGAAAAACTTGTTCTCCAAACAAGCGCTTTTGACCGCTCAGCCACCTATTGATTTTTATAGAAACAACTAATTTCACGCTAATAAAACCTCTAAAAAAAATCAATCAAAATATATTCAATTATATTTAATAATAAGCTTGGTTTTATGATTAGACATATATTAAAAAATAATATATATATTATTAATAACATTGGAATGTATGAAATATTTCTCAAATAAATCCAATGGGAAATATTATTATATAATATTATTTTAGAAATACGTAAATAATAATAAAAACTTATGATCGTAGTAATAATAATAAAAAACATAAAAAGATATAACTTGTAATTATATAAATCAAACAATAGATATAACTTAGCCAAAAATGTAGGAAATGGAGGTAATCCTGCTATAGAAAATAATAACAAAATGATACACAACGATAAATACTTATTATATCTATACAAACCACCTAACGAAATAAATCTTTCAATATTTATTCTTCCATTTAAAGTAACAAGATTACTAAAACATAAAAAGATACCAAATACATTAATAGTATATACTATTATGAAAAAAAAGATATGTTTTATTATATGAAAGTCAGGGGCTACAAAAATCATTAAATAATAACCAGTACCTGTAATACTGCTATAAGCGATTAATCTCCTAATTTTTTTTTGTTGTATTGCTCCTAGCATACCCACAACCATAGATCCAATACTACTAATCATAAAAAATATAACAAATGATTCATAAAAAAAAATAAATATGTTTATGTATAACTTCATAAAAATATAAAATAACGAAATAAATGGAAAAATAGAAAAAAATACAGTAGATAAAAAAGGCGATCCTTGGTATATATCGCTTACCCAAAAATGAAATGGAAATGAATATAGTTTAAACAACATACCAGTTAACATGAAAGCGATTGATAGTATATATATATTATATAGTTTACTGCTCGCTTCAATATTATTAAAATTGACAAAAAACATTGAAATATCTTCATAATATAATAAACCGCTAAATCCATATAGTATAGAAATACCAAATAGTAATAAGACAGAAGAAAAAGAACCTAATATAAAATATTTTAATCCCGCTTCTATACTATATTTATTTTTCCGAGAAAAAGCAGCAAGTGTGTAAAAACATATACTTTGGAGTTCAATTAATAAATAAAATGAAATTAAATTAACAGAACAAACCAACATATTAATACTATATACAGACAATAAAATTAAAATAATAAATTCAAATGAATTTATGTTATAAACTCTTAGCAGATTACTAAAACCTACTAGATACAATAAAGCAATAACTATATTAATAATACAAAAACCATTTGTCGTATCGTCTTTATATAGCAAATCTTTTAATCCAAAATTATAAGAATACATAACACAATGTAAAATCAATGTATTTAATAATATAATAACAGCTAAATAAATAATAAAATTATCTTGCCTTATAAAATTACTCTTATTTGAAAAAAGATTTAATACTAAATAACAAAAAATAAAAAAAATAGAAAATAATAAATAATTTTCAGGTAATAAAAAAAAATAATTAAATAACATTTATTTGTTATAGACATAATCTAATATATTTTTTAACTGTATTGTTTTAAAAAGAGAAAAAATATTTACTAAATACAATAAATATAGTGTATATAGTATTATAACAGAAAAAAAAATTGAAGCATAATAAGAATCTACAATCGGTAAATTGTAAATAAAAAAAAAAAAGCTATTTGTTTGATGTATTTGGGAACTCCAATTATTTTTTATTCTTAACAAGAACAAATTGGTAATTAAAAAAAAGAAAAACAAAAATCTATAATAAAAACTCAAATATGATAAAAAAATATTAATTATAAAATATAAAATCAATAATAAAATAAAAAAAATACGACTGTCAAAAAATAATAACGATTTCCATATCGAAAATGCCCATAATGTACCTATAAAAATAGTTAACGTACTATAATAAATACCCATAAGCGAAAAAAAACTATTTATTTCTAAATATAAATTTCTATGTATAAAATTACGTAACTGATTAATAAATAATATAAAAAAAAAGACGTAACTAATTATAACTAATGAAATATGCATAACTAATAAATAATTATAAATAAAATGGTCGTAATATTCTAATAATCTATATGAACATATTATAAAAAAATATAAAAAAAAATAAAAATAAAATTTAACCAATAAAATCATTTATTTATATAAAAGATCATTATAAAAATAAACTATGTTATTCTCTAGTAAAGAAAAAATAGAATATGGATATATTCCCATCCACAAAATAAAAAATAAAAGAATAAACAATAAACTTATCTCTAACATTCCTAAATCATAAAAAAATTTTAGATACTTGTATTTAGGGACCATAAAAATTAATCTATTATATAACGATAAAGAATAAATAGTACATATAAAAATACCTATCAAAGCAATTGATAACGAATGATAATTATACGAATAAAATAAACTTATAATTATTAAAAATTCTCCTATAAAATTACTTGTTAATGGAAAACTTATATTACTAATTGTAAAAATAAATAAAAAAAATGAAAAAATAGGCATAGTATATATTAAACCACTATAATACTTAATCAATTTAGTATGTGTTCTACTATATAACATCCCAATTAAAAAAAAGAAACCCCCAGAAACAATCCCATGCGCAAGCATTAAATGAATACTACCAGCAATACCAATACTAGTAAACGTAAAGAGACCTAGTACACAAACATTCATATGCGAAACAGATGAATAAGCAATTATACGTTTAATATCTATTTGTTTCAATGTCACAAAAGACGTATAGAAAATGCCTATACAACTTATCAATAGTACTAATGGACAAAAATAATATGTAGATACTGGAAATAAAGGCATTAAGAAACGTAAAAAGCCATAACTTCCTAATTTCAATAGGACACCCGCTAATAGTACACTACCTTCTGTAGGAGCTTCTACGTGAGCTTCTGGTAGCCAAATATGAAAAGGAAACATTGGGATCTTTATAGCAAAAGAAATAAAAAAAGTAAACCATATTATATTTTCTCTAATTAGTGAATAATTATTATTTAACAAAATTTCAAAACTAGTACTTCCCGTATACGAATATAGTGATAATATTGATACAAGCATAAAGAAAGACCCAATTAATGTATAAAAAAAAAATAAATAGCTTGCATGAATTCTTCTTTTGCGGTAACTACTAATTCCTATTAGTACAAAAAAAGGAATTAATATTATTTCAAACATAATATAAAAAACTAAAAGATCCATAGCAGAAAACACAAAAATTAATAAGAATAATGTAAAAAATAAAAATGATTGATAATAGATTACATCGTTAATATTATTAAACTTCATATTTACAGTAGAAAATAACAAGCATAAAGGTATTAATAGCATGCTTAAATAAATAAAAAAAAAAGAAATACTATCTATTCCAAAAAAAAAAGAATATTCAAATAATGAAATATTATAAACATATTGAAAACACGATTCAAAAGGGTCTAAACTTATCCATACAAAATTAAATAAAAAAAAAAGAAACAATGAAATGTCTAGATACAAATATTTATTCATTGATAATATAAATTAAAGATTATTGTTTTATTATATTTTTAACTGTATTGTTTTTATTCTTTCTTACTTTTTTATTTCCTTTCTTATCCCCAAAATTAATTTTTTTTCTTGTTCTTGCATTAGTTCTATTACGCTGCCCTCTTACTGGTAAAAAACTAGCATGCCTCCTACCTTTTAAACAACGTATATTTTTTAAAGTATTAATATTAAAAATAACTTCTTTTTGTAAAAAATTATCTATACTGAATTTATTATTTAAAAAAAAATATTTGATTTTCTTAATAACATAACTATGAGAATAATTAGAATTAAAAAAAGGATCCAAAAAAGCATCTAACTGTAAATTGACATGAAGACCTGAAAAATCACAAAGCTTTTTTGAAATAAATGACCCAATACCAAATCTACTAATAAAGAATTGAAATATATTTAACTTTTTAGAAAAACCTCTTTTTCGTCTAAATGGACTAATACTATCTAACATTTTTTTTTTTCTTTTTTTTTCTTTTTCTTTTTTTATTAAAACAACCATTATAAGGCCACGATGTTAGATCTTTAACCTTATTAATTGCAAAAAAAACCTTACTTAGTCTATTAAAACCATCGCAAATTGCAAAAAATTTTATTCTATAAATTGGATATAAAATATAAGCTCCTTTAAATCGTTCTTTTAATTCAAGCGTCTTTTCATTAAAAAATTCTAATTCGTTAAATAAAAAACGTACTAATCTTCGGTATTTTTTATTATACTTACGCATGCGTGTAATTAAAGGACTGCATAAGGAACTAGTACCATTTATGTATAAAGAAACATAAGGGAATTTATATAAAGATTTCATCTTACTTATAAATGGTAATAATGTTTCCACTAGTGGATAAATATTTCTCCAAAAACGACGTTCTTTTTTTTTTACATCTTCTAATTCTCCGCATGTTCTTTTAAATAATAACTTATTATTATAGATAAAATATAAAAACACATTTGTTATTGTGGATTTAATATATATTACCGCTTTGCTATTATTATACTTATTTAAATAATCAAAACGAAATAAAGATTTAAATATACTTAAATATTTTAAAATACTGATATAAATCAATTCTTTATTCTCATCTGCATAAAAAGATTTATTCTTTAAAATAAAAAACCTTCTAAATAATCTTTCATACTTTCCTCCTATTTTTTTTAACAATCTTTCATATCTATTTACATGTAAACGGTGGGAAGATTTAGTTACTTTAAAATTACTACTTATACAATTTCTATTGGGTTTCTTTAAAAAATCCAATAATAACTTATAAAAATTTTTATATTTACTATATAACCCATAATAATTAACATATTTCTCTCTTTCTAATTTAACATTTTTTACTATACGTTCATACTCTGAAATTAAAAGAGGATTCTTATACCTTATATAATTAAAAAAAATATCATTTTCCATATTCAAATCAAAAGTATTAAAGATAAAAAAAAAACATTGTAATTTTTTCTTTAATTCTAATAATAAATATCTAAATAATTGAATTCTTTTTTTAATAAAAAGTAAAAAATTATAAAAAAATAAATTATTATGTCTTAATGCATACAAGAATTCTTTTTTATTTGTTTTTTTATAAACACTCAAAATTAAAGAAAAAATATAACTATTAAAAAATTTAAAATTAACTACTCCTAATCTCTTATCGAAAAACGATAAATTTACTATTTTTTTTTTTGTAACATCAAAATTTAATCTATTTGTACGTTGCAAATTAAACTCACTTAACAAATAAGTAGTCATAGGATAGAATGGATCAAAATTATATTGATTTCCACAATCTTTAAATTTATTTATATAAATATATTTTTTCTTACGCTTATTCCATATTTTATTTTTACTCTCGAAACGTAGAAATAAATATATATTATACATAAAATAACGTACTACTAACGATTTGTCATTTTTTCTTTTTAATCTATTAGAAAAGAAACGAATATTTTTATCTTCTATTCTCAATAATCTTTTGCGGTATAATCGTATATACAAATTGGTAAACAATATATTATGTAATTTAAAATAGTTATTTAATATAAAATAAAGACGTAATTGTTTATAATAATTCAATGACTTATAAAAAAAAGAAATTAACGGAAAATCCATTTACACAATAAAAATACCCTTTTTTTTATATTTATTTGGAATTCTAAAACACTTCATACGAAATAGTAAATTACCTAACATACTATCTGAAAAGCTAACTATCCTATAATAAGTTTTTTTTTGTCTAGAATAAAAATAAGTGTCTATAGGTAATAAAAAATAACATAGATGACTATAACCTAATTTAAATATTATAGTATTATAGTAATAATATAATTTATAACCTCTTCCTTCTAATTTTAAATGTTTAATATTATAATATAAATGACTACGAATAAATTTTAATAATAATAATTTTACTTTCTTCCAATAACAATGATCTACTCTAAAAAGACAATAATTATGACAATATAAAATACGAGAATCTATAAAAAAAAAATAAAACGAATTTAATTTATATTTAAAAAAAGAAATAAATGTCCCTATTAAAAAAGTATTCAATTCTATGTAATAAAAGGAATGATTCAATAAAAAAAATCGAGCCATTGCTTAAAATTAATATATTTCAAATAAAATAACCCCTCCTACATTATTTATAATAGCATCTGACGTATTAAATATCCCACGAGACGTAGACAAAATAAAAGAACTACGCTCTAATCTACTTAAATCTCTTAACTTACTAACTGTTACTGTTTTTATATTTTTCTTTGAATAAAATGATAAAATATTTACAATAGAACTACATTCTTCATGATAATTTAGTGTAATGTGTATAAAACTACGGTTTAATAAATTAAAAATCATAATATTAGAAAAATACCTTTTTTTAAATAAAAAATAACTCAATAACAAATTAAAAGAACTAAAGTATACTGTAAAAGTACTATTTTTTTTTATAATAGCATTTTTTAACGAACTATAAAAAGTACCAAAAAAATAAATTGGAAATTTTAATTTTAACATACAATTACCAAGAAGATTTCATTATACCAATTAATTGTTTATTTAAAGAATATTGTTTCACCATCATCCTTGTTAATTTAAAAAAATTCAATACACCTCTTCGTCTATATGAAAGAATACAAAAATTTGAAATTCTCGTATAATGTACATGTAAATAAAAAAATAAATATAAAACATATGTATATTTCTTTCCAATAAAAAATGTATTATACAAAGATTTAATATATAAATAAGAAACAAAAGAATTCTCAAATATAAATCTATTCTTATAATGTTTACTGTTTAATAATTTAGAAACCATTATATAACATTTAAACCACCTAATCTAAATAGATCACGATTAATTAAATAATACTTATAACTAGTACATACTTTTAGTTTTAATTTAAAAATAGCATTTTCAAAAAAGTTATAATACTTATAATAATCTAAAGTATAAGTAAAATAATTTAAAAATAAAAATTTTGTTAACGAATAAAAAAAACTAGAATATATTGTCTTTTTATTATCATAAAATAAATAATAATTATTTAATTTTAAATCTAAAGAATATATTAATTTAGGTAATGAATTATATAAAATGTTAAGATAAGTAGTATAAAACTTTTGCTTAGATATTGCTAGTACACCACCTACTTTTAACTTTCTTCTTTTTAATAAATTATTATTCAGTACAAACTTTATTTTATTATTTGTAAATTTCTCCAATAGCATTAATTTCAATAAGAATAAAAACCTATTACTACTACTATTATGTAACAAATAATATACTTGAATGTAAGAAAAAAAAAAGAAATTATTACGATTCACTAATCGATCAAGAAAATAACTTTGTAGATAATTAAAATTAAAATAAAAAAAATTTAACTTATTCATTTCATTTTTTTTAAAAAATACTTGGAGAAATTAAAATCAATTTCATTAATTTTTTAACTCTTATTTCATACGATAAGGGGCCACTTACTCTATTACCAATAGGATTTAAATTTTTATCTAATAATGCCATTGCATTATCTTCAAATGAAATATGTATTCCATTGTATCTACAAACATTTTTTTTTGTTCTTACAATTATACCAAATCTTACATCATGTAATTTAACTTTGATTTTTTTACGCAACCTTACTTTTTTTATAGCAACTACTATAAAATCTCCTACCTTAGCGTGTTGATATTTTTTATTCAAAACCTTAATACATTCCCCTTCTTTAGCACCAGAATTATCTGTAATATAAAAACGTGTTTTTACTCCAATCATTACATTGCTTACTTAGACATATAAATATTTTTATTACTATCAATTAGACACACTTTTATTGGTAACTTATATGAAATTTTATCTAAAAGCTTTACGGCTAAATAGATAGGTATAGAGTTTAATTCAAATAGACAATCATAAATATGAACAAAATTAATATATTTGTCTATTGCTCCTTTCCCTTTCCCCATCCGTACTCCTGTTGGCTTCGAAGTAAGTGGAATTAAAAAATTACATCTGATTAACAAAAAACCTTTTTTTTTTAATTCTCTCCTAATTATAACTCTACAACACTCGATTTGTTCTTTTGTCAATACACCATTAGATAAAGAAACAAAACCAATATTACCTGACAACAATAAATTAGAGCTACTATTTATTTTATGGTTATAAACACAATTCTTATGAATACGTCTTGTGAAACGCGAAATCATCTTAGACTATACTTATTAATTTATAGTTTGAATCATATGTTTTACTATAAAAAAACATCCATACTTTAATACCTATAGAACCCTGTTTTGCTCTCGCAAATGATTGATAATAATCAATGTCTGCTAATATACTTTTATTTGGCATTTTTCCAAATAACTTATAATTTTTTATTATTTGATGATAAGCTACTAATCTGGCTTGTCTTCCTTTTTTAGGCGGACCATTACATTCAATACGCAATCCTATTAATGGATATTTTTTTGCCATTATTTCATTTTGACATAAAGAATCAAATAAAAATCGTAATTTAGTAAACGATAAAAAAAAATTAGATTTATTTAAATTCAAATATAATTCTTTCCTACTAGTCTTCTTCTTATTCTTTCTACTTAATATATTTAACCGTTTCAATAAAGCAAAGCATTGTTTTATTTTACTATGACGTTTAATAAAATAATATTCAAAAAATGATTTAGAAAAATTATTTAATAGCTCTGTCTTTAGTTTTCTTTTCTCCCTCAACTGTATATATTGTAGGCTTTTAAAGATTCTAAATAAATTAGCTCCTTTTTCTAGTTCCAGACAAACATAATCATTTACTAATTTAGAAGATAATAAAGGTGGTAACTTTTTATACATATAAAAAGATCCTAGGAAAATAAAACGCATTCCAGTAAATAAATAAATTGTTTTTTCTATATTTAGTATAAAATAATATAAAAAAAAATAAACAAAAAAATCATAAAAAGTACGTTCATCAAAAATATCCCTACTCAATTCTCTTTTATAATTCTCTTTTAAAAAATAATAAGAATGATTTAATACTTTATTTGGATAGTATTGCATACTATAAACAAAATTTTGTTTTAAAAATAATAATTTATTATAACATAATAAAAAAAAACGAAATAAAATAAAACTAGGCGTCAACTTAATGCTGAGAAATAAAAAAAATCTTAATACATAATAAAACAAGCTTAATAGTTTTAAATTATTTTTTTTTTTTTTTCTATAGAAAGAAAAAAAATAAAATATATTTTTTTTTAATTGAAATTTAATTGGATTATTTTTATATTTCGGCCTATTATTAATATTAATTATAGAAGAATAAAAATATTTTTTATGTATGCATCGTTTGTTTATTCCACGATTAAAAAAATATAAAAAATATAAAACAGAATTAGAATAAAAAGCATGTACATACATTACCCTATTACATCGTAAATTAACTTTATGAATTTTATTTTTTCTGAACATAAAACTATATAACAAATATTGTTCTGAAAAAAAAGATAAAAAATATTTTTTTATCTGAAAACGATAAAGATAAATATTTAAATTAACAAATAAATAATTATTCGTAATATAATTTAAATAAACATCATCTGTTAACATTTTTAAACGATAAAATAAACCTTTAAAATATTGGAGAACTTGAAAATCTCGAAAAAATAATAAAGAATAATATTTACTATCCTCATACCAGGTATTTTTCCAAGAATTAAAAAAAGGTACTCTTAGATTACTTAAATTACTGATTCTACTCATTATTATTATTTTTTTAGTTTAAAATTCTTTTTTTCTTTTTTTAACTTAACACACTTTCTCTTAGTAAAAACAAATTCACCTACACAATGTCCAAACATTTCATCTTTATTAAATTTAATAGCTACTATTTGTTTACCATTATGTATACTTAATACTTTATCTTTAAATAGAGGAAGACTATTTGTCTGACGATCATAAATTACCTTATTTTTTCTATAATTACAAAAATCGTGGGAAAAAAAAATACCTTTCCAAGTAGAACGTGACATTTTAACTTTTCTTTCTTTTAAACTTTCTACTATACTTAATCACACTTGCCCACTTATTTGTAGGAGATGACTTTTTTGATTTTTTTCCTTCCCCTCCTCCGTGAGGATGGTCTACTGGATTCATTGCTACTCCTCTTACTGTAGGGCGTATTCCATACCATCGCGAACGTCCTGCTTTACCAAATTTAATAGAACGAAAAGAAGTATTTGATGTTTTCCCTAATGTACCAAAACCATACAAAGAACTTTTTAATAATTTAAAACCACCAGAACAAGGTAACTTAATATATGCGTAACCCTTTTCTTTTTTTACCAATATACCAGAAACTCCTGCAGCACGTAAATATTTAGAATTGCTATTTAATAATGTAGATATATTATGTACTATAGAACCTATTGGTAAATTTAAAAAAAAAGATCTATTCCCTATTTTTAAAAAATCATACAATTTAATACTACACATATATGTATTGCCAAGAATCACTCCTGATGTAGCTATGATAAAAGAATAAACGCCATTTTTATAAAAAATTAAATTGATAAAACTAGATCTATTTGGGTCATATTCGATACTTTCGACTATATAAGGAATTTCTTTTAAATAAAAAAAATCAACGAGTCTATATAATTTTTTATGACCACATTCTTTATGGAACACAGTAATCCTACCGTCTTTATTTCTTCCATAACAAGAATTTTTTTTTAGCAATAAAGATGGAAGAAAAATACTTTTTTCTAAATTTTTTTTATTAACCAAACATAAATGCCTCATAGAGGGAGTAATTGCTTTATAATATAACATAAGAAGAGACAAAAAATTTTAGAAATTACTAAAAAATTACTAAAGAATTAAAAAACCACAGCTTTTTAATGAATTAAATATTTTTTTATAAATGGAAACATCGATTTTATTAATAAAACTATAAATACAATAATATTCAATCAATTCATATAACATAAATATACTTACATATTGCAAAGAAATAATTGGAAATTCAACATATCCTGGTTTTTTCATAGGATTATATTTAATAAAACAACGTTTTAAAGAATAAAATAAATCTGGGAACTTAATTACAAAATCGTAATTCTGGTTCCCATACGAATAAACTAACACATTTAATAGAACATCATTAAAAAAACGCACTGTTAAATTATTAAATTTATTACAGAAATCCATTATAGGAATTCCTACTTGTCCTAAAGCTGGACCTACTGGTTCTTTAGACGTTGCTTGTGTTGCAAAAATTTTTAATCTTAAAATAGTATTACATTTCATCTACTTACTAAATCTAAATTTTCTACTATTTTGAAATTTCGAATAAAAAATAAAAAACAATTTGATAATAATGCATTATTATATAAAGAGAAAATAGATAATTCATTAACTATGATATTAAAATGCTTTAACTCAAATTGTTCTCTTGATTTTTTATCAATATGCGGCGAACGTAACAATGTTATTTTATTTTTTTTTTTTTTACAATTATAATATGATAATGATAAGTATTTAAACATCATAAAAACAACCTTTATTAATAAATTATTTACTAATAATAAAAAAAATCGTTTTAGATTAATTGAATTATGTGTACTAACTGACTTAGTATTAGAATTACAAAATAAACTTCTATTGAGAAACGGTAGAAATATATTATTTAAATTTATTTTATATCTTAATGATAATAAAGAAAAAAAATATATTTTTAAGTTAGTAAACAAATAATAAAGATTAAAACGTAAATAAAAATAATAAAAATATTTTATATAAAAATAATTTATTGATAAAATATAAAAAATATTTTATCCTGTTAGAGTTGAAAAAAGATGAAAGCTTCCATTGTACTTTCTTTTTTCCTACGTTCTTTTTTTTTAATATAAAAAAGAAAAAAAAAAATAATTTATTAAAAATTTCTTTATTCGAAAAAAACATTAATTTTTTTTTTTACTTAAAGAATGATTTACCGTTAAATAATCCATTAAGTATAAATTAAAAAAAATAAATGTTTTATTTTTAAGAAAACCAACAATTTTAAACAAATTAACTAATTTAAATAGACTAAATAAAAAAAATTTACGGTAAAAAACTAATAATGAAAAATTTTTATTAAACCAAACCAAATTAGAAATTATTAATTTATGTTTTAATTTCATATAAAAACTAATTAAAGGTAAAATATACTTTAAAAAAAAGAAATAAATTATAAAGAAAAAGATTAAAAAATTTATTTGCGATTGAATTATTAAACCATCTAATTGAGGCATACTATTAGTAATAAATGAAAAAATAATATTATTTAAATAAAAATATGAATAATATATTCATATTATAACATAACATTACAAAATCGAAGAATAAAACGATAATCTTCCTTTTTTATAAAAAGATGAAAGCATAATAAAATAAAATAAAAAAATAAAAACAGATTGTGAATTGCCTAGTAATGGATAACTCAAGTAGGTATAATATTTAAAATCAATATCTAAATTACCGACACATGGTATCTTTAAATTTTTTGCTTCGATCGCCGGAATAGGAAAATTATAAGTACTAAAAAATAAAAAAACATCTGGAAATCTATTCAAATATCTATAAAATTTAAAAAATAAAAAGAAACGCCAATATTTTTCTATCCTTTTAATATGCGTTTCCCACTCCATTCCAGGTATCCTTTTATAAAATGTAAAATGCAACAAACTAAAAAAAAAATTATAAAAATTAATTTTATTGTATGGTAAATAACTCTTATAGTTCTTATTTGTTTCTTTAAATGTAAAAATATCTGTAAATAAAATACTACAAGACGTATACGTATTTGAAAGTTGACCATAACTCCAACGCTCAGTGAATACCATATTCCGAGTACTATTAATTTCTTTTATAAAATAAAGTAAATAAGAAATATTTAATTGCATATTGCTATGCATATAAAAAAGATATAGATTATTCATAAGCCCTAAATTATAAAAAAAAAAAAGTGCTCTCTTAAAAAAAAATATTATTTTATTTATATCAAAAATACAATAATTATTACGGTAACCTACTATAAAAGGTTTATAGAAACTATGTAAAATAAATCTAATGTTACCTATATGAATTCCTATTGAAAGCATTAAATCAAATAACATTAATATATAGAAACGTTAAAAATATAATGATTACGTGCTAATTGATCGTACTGATGTCTCATGGAATAGCCTTGCTTTTCGTTAGTTAGATAAATGGCACCTATCATTGCAGCAAATAGTATCAATGCTCCAAAAAGTAAAAAAAAAAAATACTCATAGTATAATAGAATACCTATTTTTTTAATTATAAGAAACCGTGCAGATTCATCGAGTAAAGAAATACTAGAAAATGAAAATAAATTTAAATCAAACATAAAAAGCCGTGGTATATATATTAAATTGTCATGAAAAAAAATAAAAAATAATTGTAATAAATATGATAACAAAAGAAAAATACCGATAGTCAAATAAAAACTACTATCTTTTTCAATCTTTCTAATATTAAGCATCATTACTACGAATAAAAACAATACCGCTATTGCTCCAACATATATCATTAAAAATAACAATCCTAAAAAATCAATGTTCAACAATATAAAAACCATCGAAGTATTAAAGAAAATACTTATTAAAAATAAAACTGCATTTATTGGGTTAACTACAGTAACCATAAAAACTGCTGAGATTAATATTAAAAAATAAAAAAAAAGTAATAAAAAAGACATTTTTATTTATTTGTTATATTATTATATACATTATTACTATTATTATTATTATAGAGAAAGAAAAACAAACGGATTATTTTTATATTTAAATGTTTTTTTACTCTTTTCTAAACTATTTAATCTATGTAAAACAAATGAACTATTTAAATTATTAAAATGTATTATTAACAAATTATAAATAGATGAAAACCAATACATTACATAATTTTTTAAAACTATTAGAAATTTATAAAAACTATTTAATTTGATATAGATATACCTATAAAAAAAACGATACCAATTTTTTATTTTTATAAAAAAATAAATAGCTATATACCAATCTAGTTCATTAATAAAAGAAATTTCTTCTTCCTCTACATTAAATAAAGAATCCAATCTATTACTAGTTAAGTAATAAAAAAACATAGAAAAAAAGCTAAAAAAAAGAACGATACTTTCTGTCTGTAAAGTTAAAAAAAAATTAAAATTACTTAAAAAAAAAGATAATAATATGATAAGAAAAAACATTTCTATTAAAAAATAAAAAAATAAAATTATTTAAATAAAAACTATTGATACATCAATAGATATGACTATACAAAATTAACACAAGAAACTATTTCAATTAGTTCATTTGTAATAGTCTCTTGTCTAGCCTTATTATACAATAAACGAAAACTATCAATTAATTCAGATACGTTCTTTGTAGCATTATTCATTGCTGTTGCCCTTGCTCCAAGTGCACTATATTCATTTTCTTCTAAAGCATCCAAACAAATTAAAGAAACAGCATAATTATAAAAATCATATAATAAAGAACTAAAATTAGAATCAACCCCTGTAGAATTTAAAAGAGCACTACATACATGAGCTGTTTTATTAGCATCTTTAGTTCTTTCTATTAAATTTGTAGTAAAAAAAGAAAAAGAACAAATATCATAAAAAGATACTTTTTGTGTAAAAGCTGTATAAAATTTATTAAAAATAATTAAAAATCTATCAAAGCTATAATCCATGAATCTCTCTAATGTAATAATTGCAGTAAATAAAGAAAGTGGTTCTTTATCTAAATTAAAAATATTTAAAATTTGAAAAGATCTATAATATTTTTTAAAAAAATACTTAGCTTTTCTACCCATTGAAATTAATTTAATATTTTTATTTTTTTCTTTTAATTCCTCTACTATTAGTTTACTTGCTTTTAAAATATTACCATTATGAGGCCCACAACAACTTTTATCTACTGTAATAGAAAGCATAAGATATGAAGAATCTTTGTCCGAATAATTACTTGTTCCAAAGAAAGGAGTGATGGTGCCTAGTGCATATTGTCTAGATGCTATTTTATTCTTTAAAGAAGAAAGTTGTGACAATGCTACCATTTGTATTGCCTTCGTTAATAATTTAAAACGTTCATATGATTTTAATATTTTTAATAATTTTTTTGGATCTACCATTAAAAAAACAAAAAATACTATAAATTCTTTATACATAAAATATAAATATACTATTTATATTAATAACCAACTAAAATTAAACCAATTCTAATATTCATTAAAAAAAAGATACAATAATAAATCTACTAGGCTAACCTTAACAGTCACTATGTTAAAGTGTCTAATAATATCATGAGACAATCCTATTTTTACTATATAAATACTATAAGGCTCATAACTTCCTAATTCAATAATAGCTTTCGCTATAGAATAAAGAATAAAATTATCATATTTTATTATATACATGATGAAAAAACCCATAACCATTCCGATAAATAAAAAAACAAAATATAAAACAATTGTAAAAATATAATTAGAACTATTAACAGATGTTCTAGTCGAAGAGTCAAAGAAGAACATTTAAAATATAAAAATAAAAAATACTATAAATTCTTTATACATAAAATATAAATATACTATTTATATTAATAATCAACTAAAATTAAACCAATTCTAATATTTATTAAAAAAAAGATACGATAATAAATCTATTAGGCTAACCTTAATAGTCACTACGTCAAAGTGTCTAATAATATCACTAGACAATCCTGTTTTTACTTTATAAATACTATAATAAGGATCGTAACTTCCTAATTCAATAGTAGCTTTCACTAGAGAATAAAGAATAAAATCATCATATTTTACTATATATAAGATGAAAAAACCCATAACCATTCCGATAAATAAAAAAACAAAAAATAAAACAATTGTAAAAATATAATTAGAACTACTAACAGATGTTCTAGTCGAAGAGCCAAAGAAGGACATTTCAAATAATACAGATAATGGAATCAATAAGAAAAAATATAATAAATGAAAATGCGCACAAATTAATCCTAATTCGATATATGGAAAAACTGGAGTTTGACTACCTAAATAACCTAAAAATAAAAAATTAAATGCAAAAAACCAAAATAGAGTTCTATTAAATGGTTTAAATGTTTTATTTTTTATAAAACTTTTATCAATAAAAGGTAGTATAAATAAAACAAGTAAAGATACAAACATTATAATAATACCATATGCTTTATTTAAAATAGATCTTAAAATTCCATATAACGGTAAAAAATACCATTCCGGAACAATATGAGCAGGTGTTACTAAAGGATTGGCTTTTATATAGTTATCCGAATGATTGAATGCTTCAGGAAAGAAAAATACAAATATGCTAAATAAAAATAAAATTAAAAATAAACCAAATAAATCTTTCACTAAAAAATATGGATAAAATGAAATTTTATTTAAATAGTGTGATCTTATTCCTAACTCATTACTACTACCAGATTTATGTAATTGATAAATATGATAAATAGACAATAGTAAGATTACAAAAGGCAATAAATAATGTAAACTAAAAAATCTATTTAATGTTGCATTATTTATGGAATATCCTCCCCATATCCAATAAACAATATCTTTACCTACTACTGGAATTACTGTAACAAAATTAGTAATGACAGTAGCAGCCCAATAACTCATTTGTCCCCAAGGTAAAACATACCCTAAGAAAGCAGTACCCATCATTAATATATAAATAATACAACCAGTAAACCACACTAATGTTCTTGGGAAATAATAAGAACCATAATAAATACCCTTTAATATATGAACGTATACTAAGAAAAAAAAAAACGATGCTCCGTTTGCATGAATATATCTAACCAACCATCCGTAATTAACATCTCTCATTATATGCTCCACACTTAAAAAAGCTAAATCTACGTGCGGAGTAAAAAAAAAAGTTAAAAATAAACCACTAACTATTTGAATAACTAAAAAAAGAGCAGACATAAAACCAAAATTCCATAAATAATTAATATTCATTGGTGTTGGATACTTAATAAAATAAGAATAAACTGCTTTATTAATGAAATTAACAAATAATAGATTATTAAAAAAACGCATAATTCATTTTTATTATATGAAAAATAAAGATTATTATTTATCTTAAAATATAAATAACTATTTATATTAAAAATATAAAAAATATAATTGAATACACATCAATAAACCTAGCAGCATAAAACCTAAATAATGATAAATCAAACCCTTTACCGTAACTGAATAAAATGAAGTTGTTTTTCGTATTATTGAACTTATTCCAAAAGGTCCTAATTTTTCTAATAAACCCTTCTCTACTATAGAAAATATAAGAAAGCTAAAAGAAAACAAAAAATCGATTAATACATAAAAAAATAATTTATTAAATGCTATCCATTTTTGAGCAAAAAATGTATATATGTAAAAATAAAATGAAGAACTATACTTAATATTAAATAAATAAGACCGAGGTTTAAATAATGTATACATAAATAAAAAAAGAATAGAAAAATAAACTACCCATACCAACGGTACTTGTCTTAAATATTTATAATATTCATAATTAAATAAATAAAAAGTATTATACGCAATGTATTCATTGTTCACTAAAAACGATATAGATTCAACATCTACTAATGATATCATGAGTGCACTACCCCAAAAATCAGTACCTGCACCTACAAACATATCTTGTAAAAAAAAACCACTAAATACACTAAAATAAATCAATATAAATAATGGGAGTAACATATAAAACGAAGCATATTGGATATTAAACATATTATATCTATAACCATTGTATTTTACAAAAAAAACAAAAATTAATAATTTAATACTATAAAGTGTTGTAAATATAATCGACATGAAAGATAAAAAAGATAAAAAAAAAAAAAAATTTAATAAATAATATGAATCGAAAGAAACATAAAATAAATTAAAAAAAAACTGAACAATTTTTTCTTTAGAATAAAAACCTGAAAAAAAAGGAAAACCCATTAACGAAAGCGAACCTATTAAAATAGAAATATAAGCAAAAGGAAAAAAATAAATTAATCCTCCCATTTTTCTAAAATCTTGTTCATGGGAAAAACAATAAATAATCAATCCTGCTGATAAAAATAATAATGCTTTAAAAAAAGCATGATTAATTAAATGAAATATACTATTTGAATAACCCAATAGACCACACGATAAAAACATATAACCTAATTGGCTACACGTAGAATAAGCTATTATTTTTTTTATGTCATTTTGAAATAAACCTATGCTAGAACCCAAAAACGTAGTAGCTGATCCGAAGAATAAGATTAAAACCAAAAGAGATGGTAGTAATTCAAATATAAAAGAACATCTAATTACCAAAAAAATTCCTGCAGTTACCATCGTTGCAGCATGTATTAGAGAGGAAACAGGCGTTGGTCCTTCCATTGCCTCCGGTAACCAAATATGCAACCCTAACTGTGCTGATTTACCAACCGCACCTAAAATAAAAAATACTCCAACTATAGAAAACAAATATAAATCTACTTCTAAACTTAATGCTTGTATCATATAAGAAGAAAAAATAACGCTATAATCAAATGAATTATAAAGATAAAAAATAGCAGAAAAAGAAATAAGTAAACATAAATCACCTACTTTATTTGTTACCATTGCCATAATACTAGATTTATTTGCATCTATCCTACTATACCAAAAATTGATCAATAAATACGAACATAGACCAACCCCTTCCCATCCTATAAATAGTTGAACTAAGTTACCTGCTGTTACTAGAATAACCATAAAAAAAGTGAAAATAGAAATATATGAAAAAAAACGAATTTGATGTGGATCATCTTTCATATATTCAATAGAGTAAATATGTACTAAAAAAGATATTAATGTAACTACTGACAGCATACTCACAGTTAAAGAATCAAATAAAAAATTAAAATCTAAAAATAACAAATCAATAGTAATCCAGTTAAAAAGTGAAAAAAAACATTCAGAACTATTTAAAGCGACTTCATAAAATAAAATAATACTCAATAAAAATGAAATAAATACGCAGATACTTGTAAAAAAACCAATATATTTCCTACTGAACAAACGTCCAAAAAAAAACGAAACAAAAAAAGATTGAAATAAAAAATATAATATTAGCAGGTACATTTTATTTATTTTTACCTATATAGTATTTCTTTCTTTAAATTTATATATATTTCAATTTCAAACTTATCACCATTTGATAATAATTTTTTTTTATCATATAGTAACTCATCATGTGTAAATGTAGCATACTCAAAATTAAAACTTTCAACAATTGCATCTACTGGACATGCTTCTTGGCATAGACCGCAATATATACATTTCGTCATATCTATATCATATCTTGTAGTCTGTCTACTGCCATTCTCCTGTATTGCAGAATCTATGGTAATAGCCAGTGCAGGACATACTACTTCACACAGTTTACATGCAATACATCTTTCTTCTCCATTAGAATACCTACGTAACGCATGTTCACCCCTAAATCTAGGCGAAATTGCACCTTTTTCAAAAGGATAGTTAATAGTAACTTTCTTCGAAAAAACATTTTTAAATGCAATAAAAAGACCTCTTAATAGTTCATATAAATATAAAGATTGTAGTGAATTTAGCATTTACATTCTAAACTTATTATAAATACAAGAAGATCAGTAAGATGAGACTTGAACTCATAACCTTCCGGTCCCAAACCAGATGCTCCACCACTTGAGCTACTTACTGATCACCCCCTTCTTGTAATTCTTCTTGTAATTTTTGTTCTGTTTTAATGGTAAACAGGAAAGAAAGGAATCGAACCTCTATCGATGGTTTTGGAGACCATTGTTTTACCACTAAACTACTTTCCTATTTCCAATAACTATTAATTAAATTTACATCGTAATACATTATATTTCCATTAATTACATATAAAAAAAGATATACAAATAGCCAAATCCAATCAACGAAATGCCAATATGTTAAAGCTAATGCATAAACTAGAATTCTATCTCTATCTATACTATAATTATCTAATTGGGCTGTTGCAAGAGATAAAAAAATTAGACCTATACATACATGTAATCCATGAAAACCTGTTATTAGATAATAACAAGAACCAACGACACTATCTGAAATGGATAACGTATTGGTTGATACATATTCTGATAATTGTATAAATAATACAAATATAACTCCTAATGCTATTCCATACACACTCCATAGATAAAAAACAGTACTGGATCCACCACGCGCAGCATAGTAAGCTTGATTACATGCCCACCCTGACGCTAATAACACAAAACAACCCCATAATGGATATGCATCCCATGATACTAGTTCTACTCCCAGTGGAGCTAAAGTTCCCCCTATTTGTGCTGGAGTGTGAAAATATCTATCAAAATATGCCCATATAAAACTTGCAAATACAGCTGCTTCAGATATAAGGAACAATAAGAAACCACCTACCATTGCTCTTCTTACTTTAAAATTAAACTTACCTAAATATACACTATCATAGTGTAATTCTAAAATCCAATAATAAATTGGTACCAACATAATAAAAAAAGTAGCCAGTGCCGCTTTACCTGCCCATGCAAAATGGTGTAAATATAGTACGCAGAAAAATAAAGATAAAAATACAATCATACTAATGTGAAATGGCCATGGTGTATATGTAATATCATTAAAATAATGTAAATATCTCCTACTTGAAGTATATCGAACATCATATTTTAAATACTTCTCCCAATAATTAAGAATTTGTTTATTTTTATATTTTTTATGAAATAACGTTTGTTTTTTCACTACTAAACGAAACAAACTATAAAGAGATAAACCTTATTACTATTTATAACTAATAAAAAGAACTTAAAGTCTTCATATTTCTTAATTTATAAAATCCATTCAATGTCGTAGAATATTTAGTAATAAACATAGACCTAACATCTAAATTCAAGATACTATTTTTTTTTAAAAAAAATTTCAGATAGTCATTATTAACATAAGCAACAGTTTTTCTTACTGTACTAGTAGGCATGACGTCAAATATAGATACGTAGTATGATAAATAATAAAAAACTAATTCATTTAATATATAATCAAGAGAAATAAAAGAATAGCCACTTCTCTTATCTACGTTACATAACAAAATAGAAAATATATTTTTTATTATATAGAAATCAGACCTCACTTGTTCTTTTTCGGAAGGATCTAATACTTGATTAGATGATTGTACGTCACCAAAAATATTAACATATAAATCTTCAGATTCGAAAAAAGTATGACTTGGTAAAAATAAATAATTATATTTTACAGTAAAACTTTCCATTTCTGGTAAATAATAACCGTGATAAAAAGAAAAGACACCTTTTGCTATTTTATTTGTTTTATAGAAATAACCAAATTCGCTGTCCTTTACAGAACTAGAACTAAGCAAACTGTTCATTCCTGTTTCAAAATATCCTGAAATATTAGGATAAAAACAAAGGTTATTTATTTCATTTTTATCAAAAATATTTAAACTACATATATAGTTTTTTAATGTGTTATCCGAATCTAATAAATTCAGATTTAAATTTCTATATGACAATCTAAAAAAATAATGATTATTCAGGTTCTTACCTCTAAGAAGTGAAAAAAAACAAGAAGCACCAAATCCTATATGATATGAAATATAGGAATCTTTAATAAAACCACCTATAAAAAATACAAATTTTTTATAGTAACTATTATTCAAATAGTTATTGAATCGTGCATTAAATACTGGAAAATTATTTTTTAAATTAATATTATAAAAAATAAAAAAATTTGATTTTGTAAAATTAAAAAAATCAGAAATTATAAAATTATTCCTAAAGTCTATATTATAACATGGCAAATTTTCAATAAAAAATATACTATTTTTTATTAGCTTAGTAAAAAAATAGAAAAAATTAATATTAAATAATCCTACCCCATAAGAAGCTACGAAGCTAATATAATTCATTTTAATACTACGAAAAAGAAATTTAGTGTATTCAAAACATTGCTCCCATTCTAAACGTACAAATAAATTATCAATCAATAATTCAGAAAAACTATTAGCCAACGATAAGTAAGGATATTTGATTCTAAACGATTGAAGTGATTCATAACTAAATCTAGTAATATCCGAAATCCAATCTTCATTAATATATTCGTTTGAACGTGGTAAAATTCTAAAAATACGATTTCCTTTTATATCTATTCTGATACTACTATTCAAGCTATCTAAGACGTCTATACTTTCTATAGATTTTAAGTCCCACGGCCTAGCAGTAAATGCAAATGGTTTAGATGTTAATGCTCCGACAGGACAAAGATCCACGATATTTCCAGACAACTCACTATCTAGAAAAAATACATTATTCATTTTTATTTCCGATTCTGAACCCCTACCAATCATACCTAGATCACGAACTCCTAGTATCTCTTCAGAAAAACGTAAACATCTAGTACAATGAATACACCTAGTCATTATAGTTTTTACGACAGGACCCATTTCTTTATCTTCTACAGAACGTTTCATCTCTCTAAACCTACCCCTGTCACTACCAAACATTAACGTCTGGTCCTGTAAATCACATTCACCTCCCTGGTCACAAATTGGACAATCCAATGGATGATTAATTAATAAGAATTCTAAAACATTTTCTCTAGCTCTTTTTACTAATAAAGAATCTAATACTATCTCTATGCTACTAATAATACTAGTAGCACATGCTATTACTGGTTTAATACCATTATTTAATTCAACTAAGCACATACGACAATTACCTGCAATTGATAATTTGCTATGATAACAAAATCTCGGAATCATTACATATAGAAAATCACAAAATTGTATGATCGTAAAATTTTTATATTCTTTAAAACAATAAATAGGTATATTATTCAAATAAAAAAACATGGATTATTTTTATTAGTCGTTATTATGAGTCATTATTATTATAAAATCAAAAAATATATTAATTATTTATATAATTAGAAAAAAAAAAAGATATAAAAAATACTAAATAGATATAGTAATCAAAGTCTTTATATTATTAATTGCTTCTGCTGGATTCAAACCTTTGGGGCAACAAGACACACAATTTAGTATTGTATGGCATCTACCTATTTTAAAAACATCATTCAGTTGCAATAGCCTAAAAAAAAAAAAATCATCCCTCGAATCAATTAACCATCTATACGATTGTAATAAAATAGCAGGTCCTAAATACTTATCTTTATTCCACCAATAACTTGGACAACTTGTTGAGCAACAAGCACATAAAATACATTCATATAGTCCGTTTAATAAATAACTATCAAATTGTAAATTTTCTTTCTTAGGTAACTCTAAAAAAAAAATTATATTATTATTACTTGTACCGAAAGTATTAACAAATTCATTAATAAAAAACGAAATATTTTTTTTTAATAAAAACGGATTTATGGATTTATATTGAAGATAGAAATGTTTCATACACACTACAATATCTTTAATTACTGGCATATGTGGCAACGGAAAAATTCTTATTTTATCCACTAAGATGCTAATTTGCTCGTTCATTACATACAAACAAGCCAATGCATTTTCACCATTTATATTCATTGCACAACTTCCACATATACCTTCTCTACAAGAACGTCTAAATGAAAAGCTTTCGTCTTTTTCATTTTTTATATTAAATAAATTATCCAGCAACATCGGAGATTTGTTCACTAAGCTATTTAATTGCACCCACGGTTCTGCATTTAAAAATGGATCATATCTAAAAACCAAATAGTCTTGCGATATACTATTAGAGATGCTAGAAAATAAAACAGACGATAAACTTGTTAGACTTTTAAAGTACATTATTCATTTAATAAGTAATAGATAAGATAAATATAATTTATTAGAATAGTAAAAATCTACAAAATTAAAAGCTTCATTCGATATATAAAAAACAACAGGTAAATCAATTGTCTCATATGGATACAATAGCAATTCCTCAAAACAAAAACATTGTATTTTATTAAAAAAAGTGGAAAAATCAGCTGGATATATTAAATATATGCTCACGCCGCATACCTCAAACATTACACTATTGTACATACGAAAAAAAATTAAATGTGTTTCATTGGGTACAGTATATATAAAACGCTGTAAACTACAAAACTCAACAAAATTAAAATTACTACTACTAGTCTGAAAAAAAACTTCAATATATCCTGCGTTCGAAAAAACCAACTGACTATCAAATCTTTTTTCATTAGAAAAAAAAAAAAAATAAATTTTCATGTAATTATGAAATGATATAAAATAATCAACTATATCCATAAACAAAAAACATGTATATATATTATTATATAAATAAGAATAAACACCTATACAATTAGAAATACACATAAATGGAGAAATATTTATTTCTGCTACCGCGTTTAAATTATCAAACGATGGTAAATCGCAAAAATATTTAAATAATGAAATATTAATAACACCAAAAAAAAGCATATTAATAAGGATTAAAACACAAAATAAAATGTAATACATTGTATAAAAAAAAAATAAATATAATATACAAATAGAACCCAGTAGGACTCGAACCTACATAGACAGCGTTTTCCCAAATTAAACTATGGATTCTTCTATTAACTACTAAAAGAACTACCTCCAAATATTTTCCAATTAGATACTAATGGATTATATGTAATATAAATAGTAGTATAGAAATGATTGAATGTTTCTTTTTTACCTAAGTATAAAGGTAAAAGTTTTCTTTTTTTATTCCATATAGCATTCCATCTATATCTAAAATAATGTTTTCCTGTTGTAAATATTTTAGGAGGTACTACAAATGTATGTAGATATGGGGGAGAAGTTAATGTCCATTCTAAAGTAGTCGTTTTAATAGATTCGGATGAAATTACATATCTATTTGTAACATAGTTGAAGCTAATCCATTTTTCTATAAAATCACTACTCATTTTAATATTTACACTTCTACCTGATACTCCATATTTTTCTACATAGTAAATAACTCCAATCATTCTATCAATTAAATCGTTATAATCAATAAATACCCATGGATTTCTAGGGGATTTTACTTGATCTACAAAAGAACAATAAATAACATAGAAAAAAAATAACACACTAAAGAATGAGATAAAAGCACCAAAAGAAGCTAAAGTATTATTATATTGGTACATATCAGGATAATCGGGTATTCTTCTTGGCATACCAGCCGAACCTAAAAAATGCATTGGAAAGAATGTAAAGTTTACACCTATGAATGTCATCCAAAAATGAGCTTGACCTAACGATTCTGAATAACTTAATCCTGTCATTTTTCCCCACCAATAATAAAAACCACCATAAATTGCAAATACTGCTCCCATAGATAATACGTAATGAAAGTGTGCAACTACATAATATGTATCGTGTATGGAAGTATCTATACCTGCATTAGATAAAATAATACCTGTAATTCCACCTAAAGTAAATAAAACAATAAACCCTGCTGCAAAATACATTGGAGTATACATCCAAATAGAACCTCCCCACATAGTAGCTATCCAATTAAATACCTTAATACCCGTAGGAATAGCAATTACCATTGTAGCCGCTGTAAAGTATGCTTTTGTACTAGTATCTATACCTGATGTATACATATGATGAGCCCAAACGATAAATCCAATTAAACCTATCATTAACATAGCAGCAATCATAGGTACATGGCCAAATACACGTTTTTTAGAAAAAGTAGCAATTATATGACTTACTAAACCAAAACCTGGTAAGATTAATATATAAACTTCTGGATGTCCAAAAAACCAAAAAAGATGTTGGTATAAAACCACATCTCCTCCTCCTACTGGATCATAGAAAGAAGTATTGAAATTTCTATCGAATAATAATAATGTTATTGCTGCGGCTAACACTGGTATTGCTACTATTACTAAAAACGAAGTAATTGCTACCGACCATACGAATAAGGGCAGGTCTTTATTAAACATTGCTTCATTTTTATAATAAAAAATAGTACATATAAAATTTATAGCTGCTATTATTGAACCGATACCTACTAAATGAAAGCTAAATATCATTAAATCTACACTTGAACCTGAGTGAGATTGTAGAGAAGATAATGGAGGGTATACTGTCCAACCTGTACCTGGACCTCCTTCAGAATAAGTAGCCAAAACAGCCAATAAAATAGCACCCGGTAATAACCAAAAACTAAAATTATTTAATCTAGGAAAAGACATATCAGGTGCTCCTATTAGAATAGGTGCAAAATAATTACCGAACCCACCAAAAAGGATAGGCATTACCACGACGAAAAGCATTAATACTCCGTGTACAGTAGTAATCATATTATAAAATTGATATTCACCAAATAAAATTTGATCTCCTGGGAATGTTAGTTCTAATCTCATTAACATAGAAAGAAGAACTGCAAGAAAACCATTAAATACTCCAAAAAATAAGTATAAGATACCTATTCTTTTATGGTTTGTTGTAAAAACCCAACGTTTTATAAAGTCGTACATTACATTTAGTATATGTAAATATACTTTGTGCTTTTATTGTCATACAAATAATAAATAACAAATAACAAATAACAATAAAACACAAAACGTTCATGCAAAAATATGTGAACGTAAGCAAATATGCATATTATACAAGTCAGCTATTTTATTATTTAGTAAAATAAATAAATATACGCTCGATCATAGAAATATAGAAAAAGAATACCTTGTTGAATCAAATGATTAACAACCTACTTATAACATAACCATCTATATGGATGATAGGAATCGAACCTATGATGATGGATTCAAAATCCATCGCCTTACCACTTGGCTACATCCATTTATTTCAGTTTATCCGGGTTCCCTTTAATCCCGTACTTGGACTTCCTCGTTTTTCTTCCTTTTACAGGAGCAAAATCAAACAGCCCTCTTATGGGTTTATAACGTACCCCTATTAAATCTTGACACCTACCTCCTCTAACTAAAACAACTGAATGTTGCTGTAAATTATGTCCGATCCCTGGTAAATGACAAGTAATTAACTTCCCTGAGCTTAATTTTACCCTAGCTACTTTTCTCTTCGCTGAATTCGGCTTTTTTGGTGCTTGAATAAAAACTTTTTGCACCGTACCTTTTTTTTGTGGACATTTATCTAATCTGGCTACCTTACTTCTTTTTTCTTTTTTTTTACGTTTACAAGAAAATAATAGTTGGCGCAACGTTACCATTATTAATAATAATAATTATTATTTACAGACAATTCTATCATATTATATTTAAAAAAAACCAAACTTGTTTTATATACAAACTCTTTATAGAAAAGAGTTTTCAAAAATTCATATAAAAACATACAATGTACACCTATTACGTCTTTAGACGAACTTCTATTTTTTAAATATGCCGTATACATACTTAATTGATCTAATCCTAATAAATAATAAAAATCATTATATACAAGAAAATAACAAACAGGAAAAAAGCGCATAGCATATCTTTTATTTAAAGTGTTTAAAAAATCCATTAGGTACTTAAACGAAGTAGAAGTTATTTCTATAACTACACATTCTCCTATAAATAATTCTTTTATCTCTTTAAAATGCTTAAGAAAAATATTTTTAGACAATAAAAATATACCATTAGGCTGCACTAATGGTAATAATTCTCTCCACTCGTCCGATTTAAAATACGTTTTTTGATATACTAATAATATCTTCATATTAAATAAATCTCTATATTATAAAAATTATTACAAAAATTAAAATCCAAAGTTAAAAACAAATACTCACTCGATCCATCGTGCCCTATTAAAATAGTTTCACTCAAGTTATAAAATTTAAATAATTTCATTGCTGTAAAATTAGTATTCTATTATTAAAATGTCTCGAGATGGAATCGAACCATCGCTCAAGGATTTTCAGTCCAATGCTCTACCACTGAGCTATCGAGTTTTAGTTCTAATATAATTATTAGCAGGAGTAGGACTCGAACCTACATCTTCAGATCATGAGTCTGATAACCTAACCAATTAGTCGATCCTGCTCCGTGTAATCACATTATATCATTTATATAATTTGTAATAAGATATAATTATAGCCAATCCGATAGCAGACTCAGATGCTGCTACACTCAGTACTAACAATGAAAAAACTTGACCTAATAAATCGTCTAATAAATATGAAAAAAAAATTAAATAATAATTTATAGATAACAATAATAACTCTAAAGACATTACTACTAATATTATGTTTTTCCTACTTAGGAAAATACCAAAAATTCCTATGATAAATAATAAAAAAGGTACTATTAAATGAAATATCATTGTGATTTAAATTATTTATATTTTGAGGGTGGACAGCGGGAATTGAACCCACACTTTTGGTGCCACAAACCAACATTCTACCTTTAAACTATATCCACTTATTTGATGCGTTACTACTTGTTGTAGTCAAAAAAAGATCCGAACAGATAAGCTACATATAAAATTAACGAAAAAAATATAGCTACCCTTAAAGGGCCTTCAAAAACAGGATCAACTACTGTATGTAGTGCTATTAAAGAAAGAATTAAAAAAAATAATAGTAATAAAAAGGTATACAAGATTGAAATATCTTCACGTTTTTTAATACTGATAGTTGTCACTGTTACCATTGCGTTGATTACCATAAAACACAATATAATATACTTACAACATAAACACACGTTTTCCTCACCTAATACTATAAATACAAAAGCGAATGTCAATATTGCAAATAAATACATTAAAATTAATTCTTTTGAATATTGATTATTCAAAGAGAAACTACATACTATTATGAATAGACCAAGAGTATTATAAATACTTTCCATACCACCATTTAAAAAAAATACAAACCCTTCCATCACTTCCATTAATAATGGGTTAGAAAAGTCACATAGCAAGCTAAAAGATTTTGAGTACTCATTCAAACCTACAAAATAATCTACTCCTGTGAATGAAAATAACTTAGAAAGTGTATAAAATTCATCACATAAACGAACAAGTTCCATAAAAAAAAAACTTTCAAATAAAAATAAAAAAATTCTTTTAACTTGCTCATTTACTATGTAATCATTTAAAAGATTTTCAAATTTAATAAAAAAAATTTTCTCAAAAAACGTTTTTTCGTATTTTCTACTGTCAAAAAACATAATTAGATTTGTTTTCAACTATTTGTGTTATAGCTTACGTTATTTATACCTAGGACTTACTTAAAAAATATTAGAAAACAATTTTTTTTTATCAGCTAATATTCTTGGTTGAATATTTTTTAAAAAGAAATCTTTATAACTTGATACCCAAGCTCTTAAATCTTTTCTGAAGAAATCAATTTCATAACTTACAAAAAAGCATTCCATTTCATTCAGATATGAAACAAAAGGATAATATTTAGATTCTAAATATTTACCTGCTAATTGGGTATTAAATAATAATCCAAAGAAGTTAGAAGCACATACTAATTCTACCTCATCTACAAACCCTTCTGCTAATGCAAACAAACATACTACTTGTTGATATAAACGTAAAGTTTCATATAAAGATTGTTGAAAATATACATTAATTCTTTTACCCCTTACTATGTAAGACATAACAATTGGATCTATTTCCCCCCCTAGTTTTTCTACACTTTCATAAGTCTTAAATAGACTATAGTCCGATTTTATTTTTTTAGAGATTCCATTCACACTACTATACTGTGCCGAAGATCCTACTCTACTTACGGATAAACCTACATTTACTGCTGGTCTAATTCCCTGATTAGCTAATTGTGATGATAAGAAAATTTGTCCATCTGTAATACTAATTACATTAGTAGGAATATATGCTGAAATATCTCCTCCTTTTGTTTCTATTACAGGTAATGCTGTTAATGATCCAGCTCCTTTATTTCTATGTAATTGTGCTGCTCTTTCTAGTAATCTGGAATGTACATAGAATACGTCTCCTGGGTATGCTTCTCTTCCTGGAGGTCTTTTTAATAGAAGAGACATTTGTCTATATGCTACTGCATGTTGTGATAAGTCATCATATATTACAATGGCTCTGTACCCTCTGTCTCTAAACCATTCCCCAATTGCACACCCTGCATATGGTGCAATAAACTGTAGCGCTGCGGCTTGATCTGCATGAGAGAATACAATAGATGTATAGTTTAGAGCTCCCATTTTTTCTAGTGTTTTTTTTATTCTTGATCCTTCAGATCTTCTTGTTCCTACTGTAACATAAATACATGTAATGAAGTTACTATGCCTATCTATTTTTACTTCATTTTCTAAATTTCTCCATTTTTTATGAATTACGTTATTTACCAGTCTTTGATTTAATACTGTGGAAATTGCTAAAGAGGTTTTACCTGTATTTTGATCCCCAATTATTAGTTCTCTTTGACCGCATCCCACAGGGATTAAACAATCAACAACGTTAATTCCTGTTAAAAAAGGTACTCTTACAGGCTCTCTTTCTATTATTCCAGGAGCAGGTATTTCTACTGATACTTCTTCTATAAGAGAAATATCATTAAAAAGATATGTGAATTCATCAAAATCTTCCTCATTATAACACTCTCCTAAAGGGGAAACTACTCTCCCTAAAACTCCGTATCCTGCTTTAGTTTTAACGTCTTTATATGTTCTGTAAACTAAATCATTACTTTTTAAATTACCCTGATTACCATTAATCATTACGATACGTACTTGATTTTTCTCTAGGTTTAAAACTTGTCCTAATAAATTAGATTCTTGGGATTTGAATTTAACCACTTCCCCTACGAATACATTCTCTAAACCTGTTGCTATTATTACATTATCTTGAATTGATTTAATTTTTCCTACTGAAAATTTTTCTAAAGTATTTAAATAAGACATTTATTTTTATGTTTATTACAAGAGTGAATAAAAAACTGGACTTGTTATGCAAGTCGTATGTACAACAATACATATAATTTAATACGTGTCTCGAGATGGAATCGAACCACCGCTCAAGGATTTTCAGTCCAATGCTCTACCACTGAGCTATCGAGTTTTAGTTCTAAATTCATAAATTCTTAAATTCTTAAATTCTATTTTTTACATTTTTTTTAAATAATTTTCTATTAATTTTATTAATTTTAATGGATTTTTTTTTTTTTTTTTTTTTCGGAACTGCCATTTTTTATATAATACTATCTTATTATTATTTTTTTAATTGTCCATACTTAGAAACACGAAAAAATATTTTTCTATGTCTTAATTTAACATCATATTTAGTATGAATACGAGTACCCATTGATAATTCTCTTTTTCTTTTATTAGATCTTTTAAAATTCAAGATTGAATTTTTAAATTCTGCTGCTTTTTTAAACTCTGCTAATTCTTTAAAAAAAAAATAATTCAAAAACGTTTCTTTTATTTTTTTATCCTTGAATTTGTATTTTAAAGATTTGAAAAACATTCGTTTCTTTGTTTTTAACTCTCCAAGGTACTTAATATAATGCGATAAATACCTAGACACTTTTTTTTTTACCTTTAACGTCTTCTTAGTAAAAAATTTTTTTATTCTTAGTTCTCGATGTTTCATCAAATAAAGAAAGTTATATAATATCTTATAATAGTATAAGATACTTAAACCAATTTTGTTTTTCATATAAGAAATATTTAAAATAATATAATTTATGTAACGTGGCATAGTACCTAGTACATTATGTAAAAAAAGTACTACTTTTTTAGTTCTTATATATATACGCTTGTATAAATGTATAAAAGTACGCAACTTCCTATAAAAACTATAAAAATAAAAAAAAAACTTAAATTTTTTCTCATTCATATTTAAAACAACGTTAATACTATTTGAATCACCACTTAAGGTACAGAAATTCAGTAAGACTAGAAAAATACATTGCCATAATTTCAAATGTTTTTTATCCTTTAAATAAAAAACTAATTTCATTAGTTTCCTAACTGTGTTTTTTATTTGTCTATCAAAATCTAAAAGACGTAAATAGTAGAAAGTTTTTTTTTTTATTTTTTTAGTTGTTACCCTATGTAATACATTACGTCTTAGTATAATGTACTTAAGTAATAATACTGGATTTATCCCAAATTTAGACTTTAAGGCGGAAATAGCCTTAAAGAAAATTCTAATCGCTCTGTTCTTACATCCACTTTTCACTAAGAAATTTATAAACGTAGAGACTACTATATCTCCATGTATAAATTTCCAATAAAAACCACCTGCTTTTAATACTTTCAGTTTTTTATACAATTTTTGTTTTTTTTTATTAACAGGTTTAATTTTATTTTGTCCTATACTTTTTACTTTTCTTACTTTTTCCTCTAAATAATTAACCATCTATAATAAAACATAAATATTTAATAAAATAAAACCAATTATATAAACAAAACACACGCTTATAGGCATTAACACTTTCCATCCTAATTTCATTAATTGATCATATCTATAACGTGGAAAAGCTGCCCTAATCCATACAAAAATAAAAACATGTATTGTTACTTTTAATGCAAAAGTTATAAAATCTGGTAAAAATGAAAGAAATGGAAAAGGTAACCAACCACCAAAGAAAAAAATTGTCATTAAAGCACTCATTAAAACTATGTTACCGTACTCCGCAAGAAAAAACAGAGCAAATGCAATAGAAGAATATTCTACATTATAACCTGCTACCAATTCTGCCTCTGCTTCAGGTAAATCAAAAGGAGCTCTATTTGTTTCTGCTAATGCAGAAACAAATAACACTAACCATAACGGAAATAATGGGAAAATAAACCATACATATTCTTGACTTTTTACTATTTCCACTAAACTGAAACTATTAGTCATTATTATCATCACAATAAAAACAAATCCAATACAAACTTCATAAGATATCATCTGCGCTGCTGATCTCAACCCCCCTAAGAAAGCATACTTCGAGTTACTAGACCATCCTGAAAATATAATTCCATAGACACCTAAGGAAGACACCGCTAGTAAGTATAAAATCGAAAAAGGGAAATCAATTAATACTTTAGCTTCACCAAAAGGTATTACTACCCATAACATAATACTACAAAAAAAAGTAAATACTGGTGCTAATAAAAAAATAAAAACATTTGAATTACTTGGTAAAATTATCTCTTTTATAAATAATTTTAAACCATCTGCTATCGGTTGAAGGAATCCGAAAATTCCTACTACATTTGGTCCTCTTCTTCTTTGGATAGAAGCCATTACTTTACGTTCAACCAAAGTAGTTATAGCTATTGTAAGTAATAAAAAAATTAAAAAAAATAAAAAGAATATAAAATTCTTATAAAATAAAAAAACCATTTCTCTATTTAGTACATTATTTATTACGCGGCTGCAGAAGGATTTGAACCTTCGACCAATTGATTAACAGTCAACTGCTCTACCACTGAGCTATGCAGCAATATTGTCTATAAGCAAAGAAAAATATTATCGATCATTAGTATCAGTCCGCTGAACACATTACTGTGCTTACACGCCTAACCTATATAGCGATGTTGTTTCGCCTATCTCATAGAAAACACGAAATATAGACTTCTTACTTATATGTTTTCAGTAATTATTCTAACATGCGTAGCTACCCAACGATGCACTTCATCACTGTACAATTGGTACACCATAGGCATGCTTTTTCCAGTCCTTTCGTACTAAGAAAAAGTTCATTTCTATTTTCTTTTACTAGCAGCAGATAGGGACCGAACTGGTTCTCACCGTTCTGAACCCAGCTCACGTACCACTTTAATTAGCGAACAGCTAAACCCTTGGAATCTCTTGCAACTCCAGGATGTGATGAGCCGACATCGAGGTACCAAACGACTTCGTAGATATGGACTCTTGGAAGTCATTAGTCTGTTATCCCTAGCGTACCTTTTATTCGTTGAGCGATAATCTTTCCACTTAGAATTACCGGATCACTATGACCAACTTACGTTCCAGATTGACTTGATGGTCAATCTATCAAGCAAACTTATACCATTATATTTTAAAACCAATATAGTTGAAGTTTACTTTATGCACATCACCGTTACTGTTTAGGTGACAACCGCCCCAGTCAAACTACCAATCATCCACTGTACCTATATCATATTATACAGTAGTAAATAGTGATTAATAAAATACTATTACAACAACGAATCAAATTTATTTGAATTCACATATATATCCTATATAATTAAACTACTACCTACAATAGATGACTATAGTAAAGGTGCATAGGGTCTTTCCGTCTAACTGCTAGTACTCTGCATTTTCACAGAAAATTCAATTTCACTGAGTTAATATTGGAGACAGTGGGAAAATCGTTACGCCATTCATGCGGGTCATCAATTAAATGACAAGGAATTTCGCTACCTTTGGATCCTCAAGATAGGACCGTCGTTTACTGGCTATTATGAAAAAAGCACTACTACCTTCTTCTTTTTAGTTACAGCACCGGACAGGCGTCAGACTTAATACTTCATTTGTTCAATTTCGCAAAGTCCTGTGTTTTTGATAAACAGTCGTTCTCCCCTGTTATGTACTTCCACAAAAGGCACCGCCTTCTATGGAAACTCTTTCTCCCTAAGTTACAGAGTCAATTTGCCGAGTTCCTTCAATATTATTCTCTCAATCACCTTGGTATACTCTACCTATCCACTTGTGTCAGTTTAGGGTACGATCTATTATAAATACAAACTACTAAGTATAGTTTTTCCTGAAACATAAAAGTATCAATACATTAATATATCTACTTTTATATTTGTCACTACACTAATGGTTGAACACGTTTATATTCCTCCCCATCAAAAATAACATTGGTTTTTTCTTTAGAGATCGACTAACTCTGATTGGATAATCCTTTTATCAGAAACCCTTGGATTTCCGGTGATAATGTTTCTCACATTATTTAAGTTACTCATGTCAATATGATTAACTTTGATTTACTAATATGTTTGAGTAACATATCTTTGTTATATACAAAGCATTTTGCTACCGACGTTTAATCCTATAATTTCAGTAATTCCCTTTAGCCTCTCTACATCTGTAAAACCAAATAAAAGGAATCAGTGAGCATTTACGCTTTCTTTAAATGATGGCTGCTTCCAAGCCTACATCCTAAACCCTTTACTTATTTAGCTTCTCTTATCACTAAGGGAATATTTCGAGACTTTAATTTATAGTCTGGGCTGTCTCCCTTTCGAATAAAGACCTTATCACCTTTATTCCGATCACTATTATCTATTTTATTTATCTTCAAAGTTTTCATAACCTCAGTAAGAAAAAAATCCCCATCAGTTATAGAGTGCTTTACAATAAATAAACAAAGAATAATACTTTACCTCTATAAATTTCGCAAAAAACCAGCTATTCCAAGTTTGATTAGCCTTTCACCCCTATTCACAATTCATCCCAGTATATTGCAACATACACGGGTTCGGTCCTCCTACGTATAGGTCTTATACATATTCAACCTGATCATGAATAGATCACTTGGTTTCGGGTCATATTCACATAACTATTATACGCTTTCACTACGTGTTCATCTCACGACTTACACTTGCTATATAAATATACTCATTGACCCATTATGCAAAAGGTATATTGTCACAACTTCACATTGCTCCAAATGCTTATTTAGTATTTATTTTCAAGGTCTTTTTACTCTTTTTAACAAGATCTTTTCACCTTTCCCTCACGGTACTTGTTCACTATCGGTTATTTAGTATTTATTAGGGTTAAAAAGTGGTATTTTTATATTCAAATACCGTTGCCTTGCAACATTTTACTTTTTTATTAATTGGACCTTCGGGCACTCTTCGCACGATTATACAGGACTTTCACCTTTCTTGTTTAGTTTTCCAATCTAATTCTAACCAAGGATCCACCTCCATCACTACCCTACCTTTGGATTCGCTCACCACTACTACCAAAATCTCTTTTGTGTTATCCTTAACAAGCTACTTAGATGTTTCAATTCACTTGTTATAATAAAGTCATAATGCATTATGCTATACAAATACATTACTGAAATAGCTACAAACGAAAAATTTTTAATTCTCACACTACCTATTTTCGAATATTACGTTTATATACTAAATACCAAGGTATCCAATAAATACTAACTTATATTTTT